GGGCATGTGTGTTGATTTCGCAACCGGAAGCGCTTTCGGGCTTTTTTGGGCTTTTTTGGGTTCTTTTGGGCTTTTTGCCGAAGTATGACGGGTCCCCAAGGTGACGGATGGCGACCGTTCAGCGGCTTGGCAGTGAACGTCCCCTTGTGGTCTCGATGATGGATTATAAACCATACTGCGGCATGCGTGGCATCCTCATATCTGTAACACTTGTTCTTACTCTCATAGCATGTTCCGCCTTTATCTGTGCCTTAAATCTTATTCTCAAAACATAGATTTCTCGAACACTGGTGGATTATAATATGTGGCTTAATCTGAAGCTGTGGGTTGTTTCAGACTGCCGCACTGACTGCAGCTGACTGCAGCAGAGTGCATGACTGCACTGACCGCAAGGGCTGCACAGATCGCTGCATCCTTTCGTAAAAGTGGAGAGGATAAATAGTTGTAGCCCAAACAATCAACAACAAAATCTACCTAGACCCATAAGACAACGAGCGAGGGTAAAACAGGTATAGTTCATGCGTTGACCGCACGGACTGGACATCACTACGGAGCAAGCACCGCGAGGTAGAAAGCTTGCCCCAGTACAAATTCGCCATTGTATAGGGCATCCGAAAAATCGTGACGATGGCGCGACCGCACGGGACACACGCACTTCCATTTCTTGGTTTCTGTCTCTACTCGAGTGGTTTTTCTGCTTACATGTGATAGTATTTTGACACTGGAAGTCACTATGCTGAACGTTAAATTGATGCCCGTTTGTATGGGTGTTTTAGCTCCTGTGTGCGCAAAAACCGTAGTCAACTCGTTATCACGATTTTAAGAATGAACCATACAAATCGTGCTCTCGCAACATTTTAGCCGCGCCGCGCAGGTCCGCCGCGTTGAGCAGTCCGTGCGGTCAACGAATCAACGATGTATCATTAACAGGAGGAATCAGAACAAATATGGCCATACAAAGAAGAACAATCGCCAAAATTCGATTGAGAAGAGTAAGTTAGAACCTCTGACCTTCCTAGGCATAAATCACGGTGTTTTGACGTCATCGCAATTGTTTTCTCTTCAGTCAGTGCTGCAGTATGAAACAACCCTGTGTGGAGTTTGTCCTCGACAGAGTTCTCGCGATTTGATCGTCGGGATTCAATCGCTACAGACAAGTGTTACGAGTTCATTGTATGCCGATCTTCTTGCATTTCGGTTGTGATAGTTTTCCAACACAACTAATCGTGACTAACTATCACAACCGAGATACAAGAAGATCGGCATGCAATGAACTCGTAACACTTGTCTGTAGCGATTAAATCGCGACGATAAAATTGTGTGAACTCTGTCCGAGGCCTTACGAAATTACAGTGAGGAATGATTTACAACACTTCACGCATGTGATGTCTGGTAACGAGGGGGTTCATTTTCAATAGGCCATTCGCCTTAGGCCCCGGACAAACTTCGCGCGATTTGATCGTCGCAATTCAGTCGCCGATATTCCCATTCATTTTCATTTTACAAAAAAAAATTTCGCTGGAAAAGTGTCACAACCGAAATGCAAGTTGATCGGCTGGAATGATGTTGTGACAGTTGTCCCGCCGCGATTTAGTCGCGACGATCAAATCGCGTGAAGTCTGTCCGGGGCCTTAGACAACTTGGGAGTGAGTGAGAAACATGCTAATAGAGCGTAAGTTCACTCTAAGGCCCGGCCAGACTTCGCCCAAGAGTGCGCAAAAGCGCCTGAAAGCGCACAAAAGTGCTCAAAGGCACGTCCTCCCAGTTTCTCGGCTTCCATGTTTTTGTCCGAGGCCTTTTTATGTCCCTGATTCCAAATATAAAGTCGAGAATCCGCGAAAACCCCCTGACAAACCCCTTTTCGAAACCCGCGGGGAGTTGTGCGGAACGGTGATGATTTGGGTATGCTCAAATGGGTGGGACGAACGTCACGCTCTCTTAACACATTGACGACCGCTTGACACACCATGACCCCCACTGAAATGGCTACTAACTTGTTTCAAATCAACTCTGGGAATTTTCTTTTATGCTGAATCTAGATACAACCTCTGGGAACGGCCATAGGTTGTCGGTGTTGTCGGTGTTGTCGATGTTGTCGGTGTTGTCGGTGTTGTCGGTGTTGTCGATGTTGTCGATGTTGCCGGTGTTGTCGGGGTTGTCGGTGTTGTCGATGTTGTCGGTGTTGCCGGTGTTGTCGGGGTTGCCGAGGACCTCGTGATAGCCTCTACGTTTCGCGCGCTCTCTAAACTGTCTCTGACCCCGACAACCCCGACAACACCGGCAACATCGACAACATCGACAACACCGACAACCCCGACAACACCGGCAACATCGACAACACCGACAACACCGACAACCGTTTCCTATGTAGGAAAAGCGCTAAATACGGTAATGCGCTATTGGTCCCTGCACTCTTGCCCCGCCCCTCGCCAACTATATAAGCAACTAAGCCCCGCCCTCAGAGGAAGAGAGAGAGGATGGATGTTAGAGATTATGGCTTCCCTTTTTTTTTGGGGGGGGGGAGGGAGAGAAAGAAGATAGATTGGGGGAAGAATGCCAATAAATTGTTGCTTTTCTTTTTAAGTACAGGGTGACATTATTACTTGATGTAGGCAAATTTTCCATTTATTGAAAATATATTCGTTCAGTTGCGCGCGAATGAGCAGTCACTATTAAATGTATTTACATTACATGCGAGGGTGACGCTGATACTTGGCCAGGCTTTTCCTACACGCCATGAAAGACAATAAATAGGGGGAGACTTTGCTCCAGTCACATATTTTGCTTGTTTTCGTGTAACCTCGCATTAAAGGGGCGTAGATGTGACATGCGCGAATAGAAAATGTGGGTAAATATGAGTTGTTGGAAAAAAAATTAGAGCTCTTTTGCCGAGTTCCAAAAAAGGGATGGAGAATCCGGTGCGGAAACCCAAGCAATTTTGAAGCAATTTTCTCTCTTCGGAAGTAACTTCTGGCAGCGCGAGTTGGGCAAATATACAACTGGGGGACCCACTACTGTTAGGCACAAAATCTCATCGACCACATTTCGGGTGGATGGCTCCTTCAAAGGCGCTCAAAAACGCCCAAAAGCGCCAAAACTTTTCTGCTCTCTTCACTTTCTCTCATCTTTCCTAACATGAGGAAGTGAAGAGGGGCCAAGGAAGTTTGGGCGCTTTTGGGCGCTTTTGAGCAAAGTCTGGCCGGAGGCTAACACTTTCCGTGGGACTAGTCTGAGGAAGTCTCTATTAGGACCAGCCTCTGGTTCGCAGCGGCTTGCACTGGTATCTGTATGAGCTAACGGAACGTTCAGACCGCGCACAGAGGCGCAAACAGGCGCACGGAGGCGCATCTCGTCTCGTCTCGTTTATCTCGACACGCACACTCACTCAAATGCGCCTTCGTGCGCCTTCGTCCGCCTTCGTGCGCCTTTGTGCGCCTTTGTGCGCGGTCTGAACGATCCCTAGTCACGACTATACGTTCTTGTGGCTGCTATTACTGTGCTTACGTGTGCATGCAACCATCGGTTACACACATTCCTTGTGCTTTCATATTCTCCACACATTCAATGTATGTTGAATGTATCTAGTAAAGTGACTCGCCTCTGTTGATTAGCCCTCGGAACAATGTCTGTGTTAGTCAACTGTGTTGGGAAATGTCCCATTATTGTCTGTGAAGCTGACGAATGAACCTTCACCCCGCTTTAATGTTGCGGTGCAAAACAGGTTTTGCCGTAGTTTATTAAAGGAAATCTGCAGTTTTGCGTCGGGTCACTGCTTGGTATTTTGAAACTTACACAACTCGTCCGTTCTTTCTGCGTTTTTTGAACTGGTGTCACCTGTTTATGTGCATATGAATATGAATGAATGTGTTCGGTTTTTTTGCCTTCTTTTGCTTATTTTCCCCTCTTGAAAGTTCGTCTTTTTATTCTCTTGTCTCGTTTTTTATGTGTTTTGATGCATGAATTACTTATACTAAATCAAAATGCGACGGACGTTTGGATGTACGGGAATAGTGTTGAAAACCGTAGACTTTGATCGTTGTCTTTCAAATCATTGATTCCAAGCCTGTCTTCCTTCTGCTGTGGGGTTCATGGAGGTTCTCATAAGCAGTAATTTGGATGCTTTAGTGAAAAAGTGTTAATTTTTTTTTCTTAGCGTTTTAGGCAGCGCCAAAGATATATTCAAAATAAGAATATCATTGCACAAAGTAACCGGACAATCATTCAAGCCTTAGAAAAAATGTCACGACTGATTTTGTTCTAGTTGTGAACTCATTCTTTTTGCCCTCAAGAGCTCTCATAATTTTCCGCTGAGAAACTCGCAGCGGATGAGGAAGGCAGATTTACAATCAGCGTTTCGTGTCATTTGAGATGAGGCGTGTACTTCAAAGCAGTACACACCTCATCTCAAGTGACCATTTTGACTAGCCATCATTTCCTTGTAAGCCCTCGGACAGAGTTCACACGATTTGATCGTCGCAAAATCCAGCGCCGCGATTTTCATTCATTTTCATCTTACATTCAAAAAAATTTCGAGCCGGAAAAGTATCACCATCGAAAGGCAAGCTGATCGGCCAATAAACTCGTAACAGTTGTCTTGTAGCGATTGAATCGCGACAATCAAATCGCGTGAACTCTGTCCGAGGCGCCATGTCTTATGCCGGGAGCTTTTCAAAGCTCTTGTGGTGAACGCACGCATAACTTGGGTTTTTGAAATATTCTGTGATTTTCTTGCTGGCAAATGCAAATCCGAAGATTCTGTGGGAGCACCATGTATGGCGGGGTACGTGATTTCTCATTTAGAAAGCATAAGCACACATGCGTTTTTGAACCTTTCGATCCGTAAGATGACCTTAGATAGCCCATATCGCAATAGGCGATGATGAGGAGCATCTTTTACTGTCCTTGACTGCTATCGGGCCTTTTCACTGCTTAATCGCATTCTTGCTAACTATTCATCCGACGAGCATGTATCGCTTCGCTTAAAACTATAAAAGCAGAGTCTTTCCAGTCAGTTATCCATTGCTTTGCAGAATTGAAAGCCATGGCTGGGATTGCAGCTGGACGTTTAGCAGAAGAGCGTAAGGCATGGCGCAAAGATCATCCTTTCGGGTTCATAGCGAAACCCGTAAAGAACCCCGACGGAACCCTCAATCTCTTCAACTGGGAATGTGCCATACCAGGCAAAAAGGACACGATATGGGAAGGCGGCTTGTACAAGGTAAATTTTGTGCCATTAAGAAGTAGGATCTAACAAGTAACTTTTCAGATCCGTATGCTCTTCAAAGATGACTTCCCTTCAACTCCACCTAAATGTAAATTTGAACCACCGTTATTCCATCCTAACGTCTACCCATCAGGTACGCTCCTGATAGTTTCCTCTGGGTTCTTTCTCCATTCGTGACACATTTTCCGAAGATAGTTTCTCGATACACTTATTAATAGACTTTATGAATTCGTTCTATGAATTCGTTCTTCATCGAGTGCTCACATTCTTCATCTTGCGTATAGGTTGAAGATGTCTGTTGGATACTTTTTTTTCAAATGAGCATTGTGAATATTTTTTCATTGGGTGGACATACTTGCTTAGAAACGTTATTTTTAGGAACTGTGTGTTTATCCTTGTTAGATGAGAACAAAGACTGGAAACCGTCAATCACAATCAAGCAGCTGCTGATAGGAATTCAAGATCTTCTAAATAACCCGAATCCCGATGATCCTGCGCAAGCTGAAGCTTATCAAATTTTTTGTCAAAACAGGTACGTAATAGTGAGTCTATATCTTTGATGTTCACCAAAGCTGCCTCTTCTATTTTTGATTTGATTATTTAAAGGTTTACCGTCGTTTGCATCAATTCTTATGTTGCTTAGACTTCTTCATGATTCTGTACATTTACCAATATAGGGGGGTAGACCCTATTTTAGCTGTTTGAGGGAAGGCTGAATTGGCTAGTTTACTAAATTATTCGGTCATTCCAATGGAAATGGGTGGATTTTAGAATTGGTTTGGTCTATGGCTCAAAGTACTCTTTCAAAAACCAGTAATCATGAATTTTTTCAATTTCTGATGAGGTCAGACAAACATAGCAATAGAGAAAATTTGATTTCGCTAAATTTTGACGTAATATATTTCATGCGTTTGGTATGAAAAGCAGGAGGACTGGTAAACTTGTTTTTGGTTGGTGTCGACGTTCGCCGCTAAAGAACAAGTCTATCAGTGTCGGTCCTGGTTAAATCTAGCTACTATTTCTTCACCAACATAATATTTTTATGTGTTTTTGCTAAGAATTTTGAAGGTTTCTCAAAGCTTGCTGCCAGATCTTAACTTTACGTGATTTCTCTATTGTCGATGTTGTTCCGGAATAAGGCGTAACTCATACTCACCCCCATGAAGTTGGATATGTGTAAGCTGTATTTTGGATGAATGCCGATTGCTGTTCAAGTAGCAGTATTTACGATGTAAGGCTGTACAAAACCTACTATTCTAATGATATAAGATTAGTTATGAGCTTTCACATATAATCAATTTTCTATAATCTACGCAGTGTGCTCTTTTCAACTCAAAAATTTTCTGTTTAGAGCGGAGTACGAGAAACGTGTTCGTCGAGAAGCAGCCAAGTTTTCAGCTGAAATCGTTCAGAAGCAAATGCTCGGTTAGATTCCTCATTTGATACGGCAGAATTTCCACTTTATTCCATTATCACCCTTGTTTGTATTGAATGTGGAAGTTTACTGTATTTCATGTCATCTCATCTTTTTAATGTTTCCTTTCGTCTTGATCTAGTTATTGTCATCTGTTGTGTTGGAATAGCTGTTTGAAACGAATTTTGATGGTTTTTTTAGCATTGCATTCTTTGAAAAGTATTATGCACGTTACCGCATTATTCATCCCCGTGTTTTGATGGAATAAACTTATTTGCAGATGGTTAAAAAGTCCTGTCATTTTTCTAAATGTAATGCTTTAGTATATCTTTAGGCCATGCTCTTGTAAGTGACAGTTTCACCGTAAGACTGCATTATAACAGTGAAAAAACAACGTCGACAGCTAATTAGCTTGTTTGTTTTTTTTTAATTTTTTTAAAATGTTTTTCTCTGTAATTGAAGTTCCATCACTTTGTCAACTTTTGTGAACGTCATCTTATTTTCAAGTGTCCGACAAAACCACAAATTTGACGATGTAAATGAAGACATCGTACAGTCATCGTAGATCAGCACGGCGAATCGACGAAGCCAAGAGGAAAGCGCGTCCAGGTGCGTGAAAGTTCATGTAAATATTCATTTCAATTCAAAGATCAGTATTACAGAATTGAATAACTTTGGATGGGATACTTTACATTTGGCTGAAAACTTTTCCATTCCTGAGATTAAGGACAGCATCATCAGGTGACTTCCTAGTATCTCTCTGATCTTATCACAATCTGAGAAGTATGCATGTTTAGGATTGATGGCTCAAAGCTGCCTATAGAAGAGTTCCGTAAACGATTCGAAATTCCTAAAATACCTTGTATCCTTACTGGACTTACAGACGATTGGCTAGCGCACAAAAGATGGAATGTATCGGTGAGATTTTGTCATCATCCTTCTTTCTGTGATAATATTTGTTAATTTTTTTTCCTGAGAATTATTTGATTTATGAGAAATGCATACTTCTGCTACTAGCGAAGCTTTATAACAATTGTTAGGCATCGCTGCAGTGTAGTTTGTAGGTTTTTGCGCAATTTCTTTTGCATCTCATCTCAACTTTCATCTTTTTAGTATATTCTTAGCGAAGATTCGAACCGTAGTATCTATCGTTGCCCACTTCACCGCTCTGTTACCCTTTATTAGTCGAAAACATTCCTCGTGCGTACAAAAAATTGTTATTGTTTTCTGGCATCGCCATGTACTCTTTCTATTTTGTCCTAGCTGTAGAATTTTCTTTCATGGTTAAGTTCGACACGAGTTTCAGTTTCTGTTCTTTGCGTTCACGATGACATTTTAATTTGCTGCTCATCTCCTCACTTTATGCACATGTCTAATCTAATAGACTTGACGATCGGTAGGGCTGTTGACTACAGAAGCGTATGTAATTCTGTTTCCATTTGGAAACGCGAGTTGTTTTTTAGGAATTGTGTACATAGTTGCGCACTTTTATGCATACTTTCGTGCCAGAGAGTGCTAGTCTCTTACGCCTGACAAGCAAAGAAACTTATTGCTATAATGAAAGTGACGCAACATAGATGCAAACCTGTTTTGGAATAATCTTGAGGGAAAATTATTGATTCCCTACATGTGTTATTTTTGCATTTTAAGGATCAAGTTTCTATCAGCTACGCCACAAGGGCGCTTACTCGATCTCTGAAATCACGTTATAAGCTCCCTCTTTTGTGATGGGCCTCAGTACATGAGATATCGATCCTCGAATTTTGGTACCACGCACCTCCAAGTAATTAATGTCATACAATCTCTCAGACCTGTCTGACTGAGCCCATATAGTTGGGCTGATAATTTGCTACTGTAATCTAGGCTTTGCCTGACAATTATAATTCAGCGAATATCGAGAAAGTATCGCAATCAACGTTTCAAATGCGGGGAAGACGATGATGGCTATTCGGTGAAGTTGAAGATGAAATATTATGCTGACTATATGGCCAATACGAAAGACGACAGCCCTCTTTACATCTTTGATAGTGGCTTTGGAGATGTAAGGACACCTCTTTGTTGTTTATTATAAGTTACTATACGATTCTGCAGCGGCATAAGACGAACAAGCTTCTTTCGGATTTCGAAGTGCCCGCTTTTTTCAAAGACGATTTGTTCGGTTATGCTGATTACAAGAAACGACCACCGCACAGGTACGCTATTTCACTGTATGGCTTATTTCTATATGCATAGGTTTAGGTGGTTTGTGATGGGTCCTGCACGCTCGGGTACTTCTATTCACATCGATCCGCTGGGTACCAGTGCATGGAATTCGCTCATTGTAGGACACAAACGGTAACACGTTTTATCTAGGCGTAATATTCATCACTTATCAACATGTTTAGGTGGGTGTTGATACCACCAGATGCCCCTAGAACACTTGTGAAACCTTATCAATCGGAAAAAGGCAAACATCCGGATGAGGCAGTCACTTGGTTTTTGACTGTCTACAAACGCGTTCGCGCGTCGACTTGGCCAGCAGAATATCCGGTAATCGAAGCACGGCAAGGTCCAGGAGATACTATGTTTGTGCCATCAGGTGAGCGAGATCATTCTTTATCAGCCTAAAAATTGGAATATGCTGAGACTAACTAGATTAGGTCATTACCTTTCTAATGCTGAGGTACAGTTTCATCTCTAGAGTGTATAGTTCTCCTAATGCTCATTGTTTTTTTAGGCTGGTGGCATGTTGTCATCAATGAAGACGATACCATAGCAGTAACACAAAACTTTTGCTCAGTTGTTAATCTACCTCAAGTTTGGCCCAAAACTGTAAGGGGTCGTCCGAAACTTAGCAAGCATTGGTTTAAAAGGTGCGATGCTACAGTCCTTCCCCAGCGTATTTTTCCGTCTCACAAAACTGCTTTTTGAAGATTACACAAGGAACGACCAGAGTTGATTCCAATAATGGAGCAAGCAATGAAAGGCCCTGTCGATGACGATTCTAGCAGTGACTCATCCTCAAGCAGTTCCAGTAGTGACGATGAGACTAGTGAGGATGAACAATCCAACGGCGCATGTCCATGTGTATCTGAGTCGAGGAAGAGGTGCGTGCTGTATCACAATCAGTGTAAAGAGTAATGTAATGCATCTTTTGCTTCAACCAGATCGTCGGCTGGAAGACGGAGCTTCGTGACCTAATTAAGGCTAGAAAATATCAGAGAGCATGTTCGCGAAGGAGGCGCAGACTGCGTCGCGGGCTCGGAGCAGCCGCCTCCTAGGTTATGAAGCTTCGCCTTCCAGCAGCGGATCTGGTTGAAAAAAGCGGCAAATGCAAGCGCTCAAAATGAGAGTAATATAATTCAGGAAGTATAAAAATCCAGCCAGCGCATTTATGACCACACGAATTTTCTTCCTTTCCATTTCGAAAAGTGTTTATCGTATGGTTAAAACTTATCGAGCACAAGAGAGCATATAAATCTGTGCTAACGGTGCGATTTATACTTATTAAGCTTTTCCTCTTCTTTGTAGGCGATACAATGAAATTGGTGGTCGTGCAGAGGAAGGAGACTCTTGCGCTTGCAAAATGCGGAGTAGTCCAAGAAGATAAGTTAACCATCTATATTTTGCTTTTTTTGCGATGTTCTCATATGTTTCTTTTGTTACCACGTTGTTATACAAGTGTCTTATTTGTCCCCATTTGTCATTCCTTACATCTACATCATACTGTGTCGGGTATAGTTAGATCTTCAAGTAATTACTGAACCTCATACTACATCCTCATTTTGTTTATCCGTTTGTTGTGGGATTGATGAGTATAATGAAGTGTCAGCTGAAAAAGTGTGATATCATCTTTATACTTCGCACATAAAACGCTTTGCGGTAATTAGTAACGCACTCAAAAACTTTCCAAAATATGATGCACAAAATAATAGGCTTGGAGCTTATTTTACACATATAGAGGCATGTAGGGCAACAGGCTTGTGCTGTCCTATGTACACTTCTTCACCAACCAAACCGTAATAGAGTCCAGAGGCGCAGAACGAATCCTAAATTACGATTGGTTTGTATCGCAGAAAATCATGATGACAAAACTATCAAAGTTGTTAGATCAACGATCAAACTCCTCACATGTCGGAAGAGGCTGTCCATCCGTTCGTTGTACAGCACTCGGTCAGCCCAAGCTGGGCAAAGTGTCCTCATGAATTCTTCCTTACCAGTATGCGGATTGATGGCATAGTGACGTGAGGGCTAAAGACCGCATTCAATGACTCTAATACCAAAATTGTGATTTGTTTTATCCCAGTTTTTTTTTCTCTTTTTTCGTTGCGCTAAGCACAAAGTATCATTCGATGGCAACCGGTTTGGTGGGTACCAAGTGATTAGGGGGGTAGATGAGTTGTGGAATAAGGTTTATTCGCACGGGCGTAGATTATTCGAGAAGAGGAGTGAGGTGTCCCGGTGTGGACCGGGGAGCAACCTCTAATACATCCAGAGGCTCCTTATATAGGAAGGAAGGCGGAGCCGAACAGAGTAAAAGTTACAATGTACACGAGTTGGTGCTTAAAAGGAGGTGCCGCCGATTGGCTACACTCCTGGCGCATGGGTACCACTCACTCTTGAGTGATTAGATACTCAAGAGTGAGTAGCTCACAATTTAGCCTACGGGTATTCCGTAGGCTATCTAGAATATAGAGTTCATCAATGGTTGATGATACAGAAATCATCAACACTCCGGGCGAGCGAGAGGAAAGTGAGATCTGGTAAGATCCTAATTAGAGTGGCAGATACATGTGAAGTTAACTAGTTAATAAGTTAATACCTACGCATACAGAAAAATGAGCTATGAAGGAGGATTTGCAAGTAACTTGAACATACACACAAGAGTACAATTATTAACGTAAACTTATAAAAGCATCTGAAGTGATCGCTGGAGCTGGTGGCCGGTTTGGCGCTGCTTGTCGTCCTCGCCATTTCCTCCTCTTCCACTTTGAATCGGTAGTTGCTTCGTTGACGACCATATCCTTGATAGACGGCGTTCTTACACGATGTATATACTCATGATGTCTTCTCTCCGGTGTCTTCGTCATCCTTATCTTGGCTCCATTGTTTGTGAACCACTGCGGTAGCCATTCTATCCCATATCGGGGGCGGACATTGGAGTTCGTCGTGGAACGTATTGTGGCCAACCAACGTTGTCTGTCTGCTCGAGCTTCAGCGAGGATGGAAGCATTGACTGTTGACCTTGTAAAGGTGGATTGTCGGCTTTTGGATGAAGAACATGGTTGTAGCATCGCTCGTGACGGAATCGTTCTCCTTTGGATTGTTCCTTCATTTTGCTTTGGCAATAATGGCTTGTTGCATGTTCGAGTGTTCGCACTGTTGAAATGAGAGTACGCTTTGGGTTTCTTCAATCTCTCGTTGTGTTGTGGAGTTGGGCGGTGGAGTTGGGCGGTTGTTCCTCAGTGTTTTCTTTAGCGCTGATATGCAGCCGAATGTGCCGATGAATCTTGATGTGGTGATAGTGCAGCTCGTCCCTGATATAACGAATCCGAAGATGGTTGGGGGTCAGAATGAGCCCTGAAGGAAGCTTGTGCACTCTGTCGTTGTGGATAGTGACGAGATTTACGAGATCTTGTCCTATGATCATGTCGGGTGAAACGCTTTTGCAGGAGAGCGTATCTTGAGCGATTATCAGCTTTTCATCAGAGATAAAACGCAAGTCTGCTTCCGTGGGACTCGCCATGTCGGTAGTCAGCTTCTGCTTAGTGTGTACTGACAAGTTCTTGAGCTTTTGGGAGCTGTGAAGACTTTTCAAGGTGATTTGTACTTCAGATGAGTTGAATTGCTCTTGTTGCTCGCCCATCCCAGATGTAGTAAACGAAGTAGTACGAAGGACTGGAAGCTTGAGTTCTTCACAAAGTCCTGTTTTGATCAAACTTCGTTGTCGGAGTCAAGTAGTATCGTTACTGGCTGGTAATCCCACTCTGCCTCGTTAAATATGGTTGCCGAAACAATTTGAAGAATGCATTGATCCTGTGCAAGTGGAAGCACTTCGGGATTGTAGACTTCTTGTCGTGAGCCTTGTACGACGTGCGTAGTACTCTTCTCATGACGATCCTGACTGATGTCACGGGATGACCAAGGAGCAGGTGAATGTTGATCAAGTGCAGGGTCCCGGTATTGTGTCGAGAATCCTCTGCGTTTTCCTGCTTCTGACAAACAAAGAGATCCATGGTGTGATTCTTTGCATTTGGGGCACACGCCAAAATTCGTGCAAGCGTTAGAGTTGTAATCGCTTTCAAAACATCTCCAATAAACTCCTTGATCTGCTGCTTCAAGTCGTCGGGTTCTGGTGTGGTGTACCTCTGACAGGTGTGAGGAGAATGTGGTTGTCCACATAAACACAAGTGTTTTGATTTCGAAAAGTTTTTTCTCTATCGCATCTGGTAGTCTTTTCATCTTCTTGGTTGTTTGGGTAGTAGTTGGTTGGAAAGAGAGTTTCCGTTGTTTGCAAGATTGTCTATCGCAGTGAAATGATGCTGTCGATGGTGTTCAGGATTTCGCTAATATCAAATGGATCATCTTGTACCGCTCCTTTCTGGATGGCGGTCGTACAGATGGATTCGGGAAATTTGGAAAAGATTATTCGACGCCAAAGTCTGTCTGCGTTCATCTTTGCTCCCGTTTGCTCCAGGTGAATGATCCTTGAGTTGGTTGCTTCGAAAGTGTTTCGGCAACTTCTCGGATCATCTGAGGCCCTGGGTAGTTTTTCGATCTCGTTTATAAGTATATCTGCCATGTTGGCAGAGCGATCAAAATGTTTCTTCAAGATATCTATCGCTGTCTGATATCTTTCTCCGATGACGGGTATGCAGCTCAAGGTGGCTGCTGCTTTCCCCTTTAGTGCTTGCTTCAGAAAGAGGAACTTGTCAGTGTCGGATAGGTCTTCGTCGGCGTGGATGAGAGATTCAAACACTGTCCAGAAGCTGTTGAACTCTCTGAAGTTCCCTGAGAAGGTAGGGATTTCTAGCAGAGGCTTCCGGATTTTTATTTGCCTTTCGTTGCGCTGTGGGAGGCTGCTGTTCCAGGTCTGGCCTTCGTCGCTGGCTGCATGACTTGATGTGCTTGGCACACTGGTGAGCAATAATGCAGCTTGATCCTTCAATTCGTTTTGACGGAACTGAACTTTGTTCTGCCACTGCACGACCTTGACTTCCAAATGAAGAGATTCCAACTCCAAGTTTGCTGAGTTCTGTCATAAGCTTGTCTCTCTCTTTTTCTTCATTTCGTGCTCCAATGTATTCGATCGCGGCGTTCACTTGTGTGTCTTGAAGTTTGACAGCATTTTGCAGAGAGTTGAGCAAATGCGTTATCTCTCCCATTTTGGTTTTGATGTACGTCTCGCATTCAGTTCTTTCTACGGGGAAAGTGAATGGTGTGTTGATTTCGTTCACTTCCGACTCGTATGACTTCACGAGTGCGCAGGCATTGTTGATTTTTGACTTGAAAATCTGGAGCGCTGCCATTTTCTGTTTTGCTGCACGGGGTAGGGTCGTGCACTGATGTAGTGATTCCAAGCGTTCTAATTCGGACGTGTGTATCCTCCTTTTGTTGGTCGCTTTGGCTTGAGGGCGACAGCAGGGCTGGCCTCGATACGATAGCTGTCCTTACTAGTTGCAAGGAAGCTTTCTGAGCTGGCAAGTGGGTGCCGAGCGTCTACTAGCTGTCAGCAAGCGCGCCTGGTTGGCTTGTGCGCTGTACTGGACGGTAAGGTGTTGGAACCTGTCCCGTGGATGTAACGATCCAAAGCTCAAGATCGGTGAACCGACCGTGAATGAGCTTGGAAAGCTGAGGTTTCTTTGCTAACTGTGGTGAACCAGTCAGTCAGCTAGAAAAACCCTTTTGCTAAGCTATGGATATGACCTGATAGCTTCGCAAGATGACTCTTGTTTGTGAAAGTGGTGAACCAACAATCACAGAGTCTTTTTGGCTGGTTGAGGCCAAAAAAGTTCGAGGATTTCTGTTGTTAACTGTGGTGGACCAGTCAGTTAGCTAGAAAAACCTCTTTGCTAGGCTATGGATATGACCTGATAGCTTCGCAAGATGACTCTTGTTTGTGAAAGTGGTGAACCAGCAATCACAAAGTCCTTTTTTGACTTTAGGAAAGCCAAAAGTTTCGAGGAGTTCTTGTACTAACTGTGGTGAACCAGTCAGTTAGTTAGAAAACCTCTGCTAAGCTATGGATATGACCTGATAGCTTAGCAAGACTCGTATTAGTGAAAGTGGTGGACTAACAATCACTAGAGTCGAATATTGGCTAATTAGTAGCCAAGAGTGCGAGGAGTATGTCGCTAACTGTGGTAAACCAGTCAGTTAGCTAGAAACCTCTACTAAGTTGTGGATAGGACCTGACAACTTAGTAAGACTCTTGATCGTGAGAGTGGTGGACCAGCAATCACGAGAGTCGAATATTGGCTATAGTAGAGCCTGCCACGCGGGTCTTAGGCCTTGATTTCTCGTGTCCTTAGGAGGATTCGCCGAGAAATGCAAGGAAAATCACCGGCCGATGCACCAATTTGGTGGGTACCAAGTGATTAGGGAGGTAGACGAGTTGTGGAATAAGGTTTATTCGCACGGGCGTAGATTATTCGAGAAGAGGAGTGAGGTGTCCCGGTGTGGACCGGGGAGCAACCTCTAATACATTCGGAGGCTCCTTATATAGGAAGGAAGGCGGAGCTGAACCGAGTAAAAGGTACAATGTACACGAGTTGGTGCTTGAAAGGAGGTGCCGCCGATTGGCTACACTCCTGGCGCACGGGTACCACTCACTCTTGAGTGATTAGATACTCAAGAGTGAGTTGCTCACAATTTAGCCTACGGGTATTCCGTAGGCTATCTAGAATATAGAGTTCATCAATGGTTGATGATACAGAAATCATCAACAACCGGCAACTAACGCGGTTCTGTCATCCATAGGGGATTTGGTAGGTGTTCATGTTTCGTTTGCGACCGCTTTGTGGCAATGGATGAACGTCTTCGTTTGGTATAGGGGCCTAATCTTGAGAGTTGGTAAGTTTACTGCCATTGCACGCGCAGTTGCCAGGTCTCGCACCAATTAAACAATGCCGTACTTTTTAAGATCGTTCCAACTAATTGGAAGCTATCATGATGCAGGGAAGAGTTCGAAAGGGAAAAATGACTGAAAAAAACTCAAAGCGCGTGCAGTGGCTGCAAATTCACCGACTCTCGCGATCAAGCACCGCTTTATACATAGGGCATTCGAAAAATCGTGGAGATGGCGCGACTGCGAGCGACGCGCACGCATATCCGGCAACCTCATTTTCTTGTTTTTCATCTCTACTTGAATAGATTCTCTGCTTCCATGTGATGGTACCTAGACACGGGAAGTGACTAGGTGAGCGTTGAGGTGATGCCTTTTCGTATGCGTGTTTTATATCCCTGTGGGCCCAAAGGACGCAATCACATCCGTCGTCACGATATCAAGAATGACCTATACATATAAATTCTGCATAAATGAGTAACAAATATATAGGGAGACCATTGTGGACACTATAATGTATCACAAAAGATTCAACAACATAAATTTAGTATTAGGTTGTCCGGAAATTAATGTCCGTTTTGAATTTCAACCGCAACAAACCATACACTTTTCATTCCTGAATAGCTTTCAAGGTACCATCCGATAGAGCAAAGCAAGCTCTACAAGATGGCAGTCTTGCTTTAACAACAGCTCTGGTCCACCTCGAGTTTCGAGCCAAAAACTAAAAAGATTCAACTGCCCGAAAAATCAAGAAAAATCATAATTCAGTTCGTAAGAATTCTACGAAAATTCTAACTTGCTCACCTAAACACTATTCACATAAGACATATATGTACGCTATTGCCGTATTTTTTCCTCTATTAGAAATCGAAAAAACGAAAATTCTCATACTTTTGCAAAAGTGATGCTGTGTCGTCCCCACATAAGTATATGTATACTACAAATCTGTAGAAGTAAAAACGTGGATTTTCAGCTTTTTACAAGCTTTAGTTCTCGAGAAATTTGAGCTTAGTTTGGACCACTTGACTAATGAAAGCTATATTCGATATTTCTCGAGAACTAAAGCTTGTAGAGAGCTGAAAATTTACGTTTGTACTTCTACAGATTTGTAGTACACATCTACTTATGTGGGGACGACACAGCATCACTTTGGCAAAAGCATGAACATTTTCGTTTTTTCGATTTCTAACAGAGGAAAAAATACGGCAGTAGCGTACATATATGTCTTATGTGGATAGTGTTTACGTGAGCAAGTTAGAATTTTTGCAGGATTCTTATGAACTGAGTTATGATCTTTCTCGATTTTTCGAGTAGTTGAATCTTTTTAGTTTTTGGCTCGAAATCGAGGTAACTCAGAGCTGTTGTTAAAGCAAGATAGCCTTCTTGTAGAGCTTGCTTTGCTCTATCAAATGGTACCTTGAAAGCTATTCAGAAGTGAAAAGTATATGACTTATTGCGGTTGAAATTCAAAACGGACATTAATTTCCGGACAACCTAATAGATCTGACGACTGCCATAGTGCTTTGCTGTGGCGGCAGCATTTGCGCGAAAAAATTTGCCATAAACAACGCGCATTTTCACGCGCACATAGTGTCCGTTATGCAAAACTGTTACTTTTCAAATTGATGGAATTTCAGATGTCTCAAATATCACGTATAACGCATTTTGACATCATACATTCATGTTCGAAACGTCCTTACCTGGAAGAATACGCTTTCTTCTTTGAGCTGACCCTTGAACGTGACTGGACCCAACTCGCTGTTGTACCTGAAAAGTGAGAAGCATAGAGCAACCATTATTATTGCTAATTTGTCACTTACTTCTTTACCATTTGGCCTCTACCAAGGCGGAAGAACCAGTCATGAATAGAATGGAGATCAAATCGACATCGTTCAACAGTTGTGATTTCCTAGGTTTGTCAAGGTAGGTTTATGGTTTGGATTTTGCGCAGCTTACCCTTCCGTGTCTGTCGAAATGCTCAATGGCTTCGACCCTTCCCAAATCGTCTTTTTTGGCCACAGTTTGCACCATTTGTGTTCGAGCGAGATACTGGAAATATTCGTTATGATAAAAAAGCCAGCAAGAAGTGAGGGAATCAAAATACCGTCAAAAGCGCCGTTTCGTGAAGCTGCGCATTGAATGCACCAGCTACAAGGATAGCATCGTTTCGCAAACCCTCTTCTTCAAGCCTGAAAAAAACCATGATTTTCTTGTAGAATACTTAATCTTTTTCAGCTCAAAAATCTCCAATAATTGCTCTTTACTACACCATTAAAGCCAGTGTGTTCTTTTGAACACTGAAGTCCCTGACTTTTATTTCTTTTTATTGCCTTAAGATTTTCCAATCTTCTTTTCTGCTATTTTTGGGGGACAAATCTTTATGGCCGTAGTCCAACAAGTCGATTTCTGGGCAGCTCGGCCCCTTGAACGCTAATATTGTCATTATCATCGGAAGAATAGTAAAATGGATGATACTGATCCAAGTGTCGCTTGAGCTCCAGTCAAAAAATTAAAAATCATTTGCTATAATGGTGATCATTATGGAATTTCTATCTCCATAAACCTGGCTTACGTTTGCTCAGAATGCCTCCTAGAATGGACCACGAGTTCCTCTTAAAGACTCGAGATGAGGAATGTAACGAGAAGTTACGTAAACAAGTTTCATGGCACCTTCCAATTGAATTAATTGAATGATGAAATCGTTTCGAGAGAAGGACGTTCTTGTGTTTTTTCTTCATTTGCCAGTCACTGACATACATAACATATATTTTGTCAAACGAAACAAAATATCACTTCCGAAGAGAACGAAACCAGTTATACAGAAATCTATAGTCCTGTGTAGTGCAAATAAAGTTAGTGTAGATATGAAAAGTTATGCTACAACATTTGCGAAACACAGTGATAACATTATTGAATTCCCTTTTTTTCTTGACAGGAAATGCGTGGTTTACTGCAAAATTGATATCCCATGAAAGTAACAACTACATACCATAATTATTAATATTTCACGCAAAACTAAACTTGCAGGGACTTTTCACCAGCAATTACTGTAGCTTGATCAATTTTAGATAATTGAATTGTAGATAATTAGCTTTTGAGTGAACACAATTTAGATATTACGTTTTTCTTAAGTATACCTGATATCTATGTACAAGGGAACTTTAGCTTGGAATAAATTCTGATTCCAAATGGTAGAAAAAAGAAACATGGATTAAAGAAGACTTAAAGGCAGTCGTACATGGAATACTCTCCATCAAATATGTTTCAAAGGTGTGCATGAGGGCAACAGCTGGGTAATAGCGGTATTGCACAGCTATAATTCTTTCACAAGAAACAGACTAGCTGTGGTTTTTAGCCGATAATTGAAGGCTTGTATTCAAAAATGCTGAAACGTACGCTTTCAGAAGTATTTCAACTTGCTGCTGCCGTTGTTGTGCGGCTTTGGTGACCATAGGATGCTCGACGATCTCGTTCACATCTTCGAATGGAACAGAATGCAGATTGACATTTACGAACGTCATCTGGAATTTTTACTTCAGCATAGTCGCAGCAACTTACAGAAAGTTTATCTGGCTTCTTTCAGTCGTGTAACTTATTGTTAGAAAAAACTTACAACATCGCCAAAAAGCTCATTTAGATTAGTCACGAGGTACACGGTAAGCTGTGGGCAAAAACTGCTAATTTTTCATACTTCTAAAAGCATTTCATTTGTAGTGCAGCTTACCTCTTTCCCATGGATCCTGAAACGAGCCAGAAGAAATCCCGTGTGCTGCTGCGAGATATCGCGAGTGCCATCCTCACGCTAGAAAGAAAAAAATTATTGTTCATAGCTCTTAATGGACTGTTCGAGATGTTAGATGGTTGCTAAATTGCTTCAGGGATAAACTCAAACTCGAAAAAAAATGAACTTTTTAAGCTGGTGCCAAGTCTTGAACCATAAATTTTGTCACATGGATTTTTGTGAGGACTTTCCAAATTACGTTAAATAATTCTTATATCATTAGAAATCAGGCATTTTATTATACATCTTAGAGGGTATATCTGCACCAAAATCATTACTTGAAAAAACAAACAACATAGCCATTGAAAGAATTACCCGACCAGCACGAATATTGTCTAACTAGAAAAAGCAGATCGTAAAACCGGCGCAAAATTAAGGTTAGATCGTAAGTTTAGCGATTTTAGCGATGAATAGAAAACTTGGTACTTTTCGGTTATTCGGACCCATTTTTTCAAAAAAAAAAGATATTGCTTTTTCCTTACAAGGGAAGTCATTTAACTTAGGTCGGCTTCTTAAAATGAGACACATATGTTTAGTATCAGCTCGGAATGCTGATTCCAAATATGATGTCTTTAGCTGCGAAGCGTTCCTCTGAAGCAAGCATGAGCTTTTTTAGTATGTGTCATTGACATATAACTGAATATGCGAAGAAAGCCTTTCGATGAAAATCTGCCCAAAAAGTGGTGGAAGATTGAAATAACATCAAATTGAGTGACTTGGCTTTGATAGGGTGTAGTATGCATTTGAACCACTACCTAGATGATGATACCGTAGCATGCCTAAGTCGGTCAACACGCAAAGTTTGCTCAAGAAAAAGCACATAACTCGCTTAAGAGTAATGCTTCGCAGCTATGGAAAGCAGATTTGAAATCAGCGTTTCAAGCTGATTGCAACTATATGTGTCTTATTTCAAAAGGCCGACCTAAGTTAAGTGACTTCCCTTGTTAGACCAAATTTGGTAAAAACTTAACAGAATGGAGGGTCAACCTCCTGCCAGTATCGAAAAATGATTTGACATGTTATGTACATGTTTAACAGGGTTCTACCAAAAGTTTGTTTAGATTATACCTATCCATAAAAGTTCAATCTATTTTTTATTGAGACCCCATTTTCAGTCAACACTTTTGTAAATGAGGTTTACCATTACGAGACATACTGTGTTCAAAAACAAATTAGGTTTTCCCAAAACAAAGAAGTGGGCTATTGTTTTCACATCTAAACGACGAAACAATCGGCAGCCAGGTAATTCAATCCATCATTTATATTCTTTCCCGGCTAAATTCGTATGGCGGAAAATTTGGATAGCAGGATTCTTCAAATCATTGCTAAAAGCAACCAAGACATTCTAAAAAGTGTTTGAAACTGTTTTGCATGTACAAAGGGCGCCTGAACAGCCTTTGAGTCACTTCAAATGCTCTCGTACTTCACTGGAATCATCAAACTGGCCCCAAACGTGTTACTTTTTATCTTGACACGTGGCAAGAAGGCGGTCCTTAAAGATCTATGGAAGAAATCTCCAGGCTACAGCACGTATTTCATAAGATTTTGAAAAAACGGGTCCGGATAACGGAAAAGTATTCGAAAACCTTTTTAGCTGTTTGGTTTTTTTAGTTTTTTAGTGACTTCTCTGAATGAGCTATTGTCGTTGAGATTTACCCACCAGGAAACGTGGCCTTTAAGCACTATAAAAAGCCTTAACATTCCCCTTTGCAAATGTGTCTCAAACTAAACAGTTTTTTTAAGGTAAGAGTTTACGAATTACAAAAGTTAGAGCAAGGCTTATGCATCTACCCAACAGTTGAAGTAGAACTGCATCAAAGCTCTCTAGGTTATTTGTTCAAACGATTATAGGAAAAAAGGTCAACCATATGTGGCGCATAATTCCATTCTAGAATGTCTGCAGCACTTGTTTACATACACAGTTCAAGGGAAACTTTGAGCAAATATGCACAAGCGAGGAGTTGAAAGCAATAACGATGTGTTACAATAATGTAGTTTTGGTCTGATATTTGCTCCATATGAAATTACCTGTGATTACTAAAAAATCATTAAAATTTAAAGAAATACATCAAAGTGGCATCATCGTTCGAGCACAAATTGAACCGCCTGTAATCCTGAACTAGAACAGAGCTTCAAATTGTTGAAGAAAGAGGGGGAGGGGGAGAGAGAATATTACATGCTGACTAGTATCACATTCACATTGCGTAAAAACGATTACTTTTCTAAGTTTTTTTTTTCAACTCAGACGGAATAGCTCCGAAAGTGCTTGATAATTTCCCGCAAAACTGGAAAGAGCCGCCAGTAAAATAGAACGGAGCCACAAAACAAGTCTAAATGCCATGAAAGTAAAAAGAGCAGAAGAATTACTTTATTAATACATATTTAGGCTACGCTTGTGGAGACTGCGGAAATTGTTGGTGAACATCTGTGGGCTACAGTCTTGATGGGTAAGAACAGTTTTTATAATCACACGAAAATTTTATAAAATTGAGATGAATGTTGTGGGAGTAGATGTTAGCGCAAAAGATCATCAACGAATAGGTCACGATGAAGTTTACTGTACGACAAATATCTAGTAATGATATGGAATTGACTTTACAAGTAATTTTTCAGACGGTTATGAATATGTTAAACATTTTATTCAAAAGTTGCCAAGCTTACGCTAACAAAGTTGAAAAATCAAACACTTTTCATTACGAAACCACTAATAGGATACAAGTTTATGCTAACAAAATCAGTTTTTTTGAGTTCACACTATCTTCCCTTCGATGAAAAATTGAACAAAAGGTAGTGCGCGAGACATTTCCCCTCGTTTTCTGACGTGATCTGCTCATCCGGAAAAAGCTGAACTCATAAAACTTCCGCTATATCTAACCTCCTATCGGGCCTTGTGGGTGGACCCGTCCTATCTGGTTCCGCCCTATCTGGTAGCTCCAATGGGATGTCTCCCCGGAAGTTTCAAAAGTCCAGTTTTCACCGGAAGTCATTTGCGATTGTCTGAGAAATTGTATTTAAGCGATTTTTATCTTAATTATTTTTCTCATGGAAGAACCATTCTTTTTCTTTTCTTATAGCATCCATTAAACTTAAGCTGACAAAGTATTGGGAAAGAAATTTGCAAGGAACGTGTGCATGCTGTTTGAAGAACTCATACTGTCAAAATAGAAACGTATAAAATGTACTGTAAATTCTCAATTTGTTAAGTGAAACAATAAACTTGAGTTAGTTAAGCACTTATTTTTTCAAGGATATAATGAAGTACTTCCTGAATGAAGCCATCGTTAAGGAAATCACAATTCTGGTTGATGAAAGCGTCTGAAGTGTATCCGAATAGACTTACATAAAACTCTCTGTGGAAGGAGTGTTGTTGTCGTTGTTGTCCGAATGTGCTCTGTATGAATCCATCGACTTCCGAGCGTCCAACGAACTGATCATGACCCGGGGTCAATTGTCGATAACCGGTATTCAAATACCGATCGAACTGTTGAACTGCAGACGCATCTCGGAACAAATATAGATTTCCCAGCCCCTATAACTTGCAGGGTTTTGCAACAATATATCATTTCACATAGATAATTTCGTATGACACTTACTGTCACTGTTGTGTCGAAGAATGCTGTTGATGTTTCGAACTGTCGATATATTTCGGGCGCATCAACTATCCTAGAATATGTACTTTCATGGTATAGTACAGTACTCACGGTGTCGACAGCCCGGATCTAGTTCTAAAATTTTTCTGCAGCCAGATCTCAAGGTGATCTTCGCAAACTTGACGACATTTCTCAAGCGTAACTCTTTTTTCGTCTAACCGGAATTAGGGTCAAAATCGGAAACCTGATCAAATAGAAGAGAATTCAAAAAATGCAAGAAAAATTACGAAGACCGCTTTAAGTCGCAAGGGGCAAAATTAAGAAGAGGAAGTCTGGGACGGAAAAAAGGAACAAGATTTGGATAGATAGCTTTCCAAAAAGAATCAAAACTCCAAAAATTTATGACAATAGTTGAAAAGTACACAACTATGAGTAATGTTGTATGAGAAGCGGCGAAATTACTTGATATACTATGTGAATTTGGATATTTGCGATGCCTCAGTTCTTATTTGGAATTATTCTTTGAATGGTCTCATCTGTCTCTTGAAATAATTGAACATTGTGGTAGTGCAAGCGTTTCTTGATACACTCTGTTTTGGATAATTACTTATTTAATCATGAGATTCAATTAAAGTGACTGAGTAATCTCGTTGAAATTTTTTGCTTACCCTCCGAGTAGCACTTTGGCCACATAGTCCGGGTCCGCTGCCGAAAGCAGTCCTTGCACATGAACTACAGCGAATTCAGGCTTCTGCTCGCTGATCTCCTTCGCCACCTCGGCGGCCCATTTCTTCATGATATCATCCTAAAAAAGCTATTCTCGTCACTCAATTTTGTTGAGGCACTTATTTTGCCTTTCTGACACACGTCTTCTCAGACGAAATCAGAGTGGGTAAGTTGTGCGTCTAGCTTGATCTAACCGCTTTACGGATGATTTTAGTAATAGCTTCTAGGATTACGTCCCCGATCGCCCGAAAATACCCTGACTATCGACAACGCTCTTCAAAAACAATCGTAAAAAAACAATCAGAGGCCCAGGCTTAACTTTGTTTTTCCAAGGTTTTGTGAACGAGCAAAAAAAACAATACAATAGTTTGGCAATTATCGTTGCGTGAGATCTGTTCGGGAAAATGTGAATTGATTGATTTTTTGCAGTCTTTTATTTTGCAGAATAGGGTTTAGTTGCGCCTTCTATTTTTAGATTAGAAATAAAGATGCCTATAATATAATTTTTTGATTTGATTAGAAAAAATTATTATTCGTTTGAAGATGTTGCAGAATAAGGAACAAATAGCGATTTGCATTTTTCCAGTTGTCCAAGGAGGCAAAACTAACAGTTCCTCTGTTATTTTGGAATTTTGGCGTCACGTTATGGTTGGAGACAAGTCTTCAAGATATAAATTAGAATAAATATACCGAAAAGAATAATAATGCGATTAATGATCTTTTAAAAAAATGGCCTTTTTCGCAGTTGTTACTGATTTTACAAGTTGTCTCTATGCAAAAAATATTGATTGCACGCCAAAAAAAAGAAAAAAAGGTGGATTTTCGAACATCACCTAGACATTGTCTTTGTATGCTTATTCAATTCAGAGCAAAATGTCGTAGCGCTTAAACTCAGGGGAAGAACTTACATCCAATAACTTACATACAATAAAGCATACATCCACGGAACTTAGGGGATTCCAAGTTCCGTGGATGTATGTTTTATTAATAAGAAATGATTTGTGACTTTTATAGGACCCACAAACACAACTCTGTGGGATGTAGGAACGAAAAGGATTAAAAAAAATTAGGCAAAATATTGAAACAAAAATAATTATTTGTGTTTAGAACTTTGGTGTCATTAGTATTACAGCTTCCTCATTTGCAAACTTCTATCCGAAAAGTGTTGATCACAATTTTTGCAAAACATTCGCTAATAGCCGATAATCACTTCTTTAGTAGAGACATAAACTTTCAGTCATTGAGTTTACGGTCGCGAGCGCCGGTGACCTTCACCTCTTCCATTTCTCATCTGGTAGATTGCAGTGAACAGGCAGTCATAAAACTTTCAGTCATTTATGAGGCACAGAGCAAAAAATAAAGAACATCGCATTTTTGGATATTAGAGTCTGGTTCGAAGAAAATAAGTAATTGTCAAGGAAAATTAGATTTCTAGAAAGAAGGGAAGGATACCAGCTCGGAAAGATGAAGAACACTCAGAAGTAGGACATAGGAGAAAGAAGAGACAATATGACTCAGCTCACCTTATCTCCAATTTCGGAAACATCTCCAGTGATAGAGACCTGCTTGATGTAGTCGGTGGCCATTGGTTATCCCCTAGAAAACGCAATTTTACAGAATCGCGCAAACTTCCGACGGCCGAAAAAGACCGGATAGAGGTGAATAGAGCGGTTCACAATAAGAGAACAGAGGGCGGAAATTACGCGGAACGGATTTTTACCACATAGAGAATTGTTGGGAGTGTCTACTTGAAACAGACGTGAGCGGAACCGGTTGTTGGGAGGACGTGATGTACGGGACAGAGGGTAGGGCAGATAAAGATAGGCGGACACTGAGAGTGCATTTTGAGGCAAACATTTCTTCTACACTACGAAATTGCGGGGGTTAAAGGGGTGAGATTAGGCGGGCGCCGAGGCGGGTGTCGAGACGGGGGGCGTTTGATAGTCGCGCAGTCGGTTGTCCATCAGACATTTCGACAAGACCACACCCTGTTCGATTTGAGCGGCTGACTAAGCGACGTATGTCCCGATCGAACTGCTACAGGCAATTTCGGAACAAAAACGCAGACAGATTCGATCCGTCGATGACTAACGGGACGAATGAATTGCTCGCAAACTGCAGCGATTGTTGCCTGTGTGCAGTGCTGGTAGCAGTTCTGTACTCTCGCACATTTTAGCTCAATATTGTAATCCAGAAAAAGCTTGAGTATCTGGACTTTTTATGCGAATATGATTAGGGAGACCCTAATTAAGCCATTGCCCAAAGAGCAGCTCATATGATTTATTCCTGACCGAGAAATTCCACTTTGATCTCAAACCCAAACCGTAACCCATCAGCATACCGTATCAAAAATGCTGACTTGTGGGCTTGAAAAGAAGGCTGTGTTTTCCGAGTAGATCAGCGAAAGTAAGAGATCTGAGTGAGTAAAACTGTAACCGCTTTCGGCCTCTCAATTAGCAATCCTTTTTCGTTAGGCCGATCAACTGTATCAGTACGGTAGCGAGGGTTTAGTGGATCGAGGTTCAGAGCTAAATTTCTTACCATAACTCAATACATGTCCACGTTTTTAAGCCAAATCAGTTCTTATAAGGAAAACTTTATAAAACTTAGGCATTCGTATTTGCATGGACACTGCCTTCCAATCAGGCATCACGTTCAGGTCTACAGTCCATCTTACTTGGTAAAGATTGTTGTGTGATTGCACCACTAATTAGAAGAGACCAGCCAAAACTTGCCAATAGCAAGCAAACTCACAGAGAAAACTGTTTACATTCTTAGCACTTTAGATGTCTCAGCATTTTTATTTTCTTCTATACACTCTAGTCAAGTTATTTTTCTCAAAGAAAACAAAAGACGTGCAAATTACAAGGATGACTTCTCGAGTGGGACAACGCACACATATCCTTGTTATGCATCAAAAAGGCTTTAAAAAGCTATGGCCAATAATGAAGCACTAAAATTCACTTGAGCTTAGTGGTCTCGACATTCAACTTTTTTACGTCTGTGGAAATTAACTCTAATAGTTGGGAGTATTCATATTACCGAATGAGCTTGAAAATTGTCCGGTTACTGCAATGAAGTTTATCAGAATATTTGGTTACCAGAAAGAATAATTCAAGTTAGAAATTAATTAGTAATAACAATGACAGAAGCGAGGAGGTGAGATGGTGAGATTTTTTTGAAGGGTCCTAGAAATCATATGGGAAAGGCTTAAATTTCTAGGCAAAGGGTAGATAACGATCAGAGAGCAGCCGCGCGAGAGGGACGCAGACTGCATTGCGGGTGCGAGCCGCCTTGATTAGGTCACAAAGCCCCGCCTCCCAAACGCCAAGCCAGTTAAATCAAAAGTTAAACAATGATATGTTAACACCCGCAGATTTTTCAGATTCAGAACTCAACTTTTAAAATAAAAACTCCCAGCGAGGAAAGGCATTGTGAGCCCCAAAGGCGAGGGCGGAACTCTGTTCTCCCGGTCTCAGCGGCGCCTCATACCATTACGCCCTCTTTAGCAAGAACTATTTGTTGACAGAGAACACTAGAATTTTGACTGTGTTAGATGATCTAAAGGTTCGCATAGCGAGCGTAAGGAGTGAAACAGCTTAGGAAAATTTTCAAAAAGATCCCTTTCTAGAAAATTAGAAGACTATCTGCTCAGACAACTGAACGGAACTTCCGCAGAACGTTTGAGGAAGTTCCACCGGGTCACCTGCAGAAGTTCCGTAAACGTACTGAGGAAGTTCCGAAGAATGCGAACCAAAACAACAAAAGAGAACACCTAATAAGGTTTGAACCTTACTCTATTGACTGTAAAATTCAACTACTATCCTCTGCACTGACATGTTCGATAATGCACTCTAGTTGTTGGCGAGACAACATCATGCGAGACAACACATTCAAAACCCTGCGGAAGTCGGCATATTAAAATGCTGCGGAACTGCTGGCATCTTTCGGAAGTTCCGCAGTGTCCCGCGGAAGTTTCCTATTTGAACCAGTCAGACGTGAAAATCCTGCGAAAAATCCCATTTTTAACGTTTGCATTTTGCCTTTTTGTAATAGTAAACAAAATCCTGGGGAACCGCTGCAAAGTTTGTTTGTCCTGCGAAAGTTCCGATGAATTGTCTGAGTGATATCTAGTAGCGTGAAGCGTGGAATTTTTTTTTTTTGCTGGTGAACTCGAACTGAAAAAAAGACAGCGCATTTCCCAACAATGGACGATAATCTACATTAACCAAGAAAAAAAAAGCCTTTTATCCTTGTGATTTCATACTCCCCCCCCCCCCCCCCCCCATCCACGTCTGCAGCTCCCACTGAATGAAGAGAATTGCGTGATGTTCCACTTTCTACTTTCTTCAAATCAATCCGCACCTTCCCATGAAATGGCGAAATCAGCGGGCCACCTCATCCCATTATTCCTTTTGTATGGGTAGCAAACACGAATGAGCAATGCCTTTCGCCGAATACATGCAGGGCGTGCCTCCTCAAGTTGAAAAGATTATGAAAGTCGGTGAGTCTTCTTTTTCAATATGAGTAGGTGAAAAATGCAGGTAGTAGTACACTAGGTCTTCCACGCACACACAGTATGCCCTTCATTTTTCTGTTCAAAAATTTTGTGTAAATAAACGCTAACGAATGACGCATGGTGCAGACATAGCGCAATGGCTTGAATTATTAGGTTGGCTAATAAATAAGTCGGTCGCTTTTGTGACTCTTACAAATGCTGTAGACAAATTTTTGTCCAGTTTTTGGTATCTCTGAAAAGCACTTCGAAAGGGGTTGGAGTATAAATTTTGTTTGAGTAGAACTTACCAGAGAATTGAGCAACTCCAATTTTCTCATATTGTACAAATAGAGGAAATTCGAATTTTTGATAAAAGATTTTTAAAGTGGCAAATCGCAATTTTCCTTGTAGTTCACTAAATAGAGGAAACCGCTTTGTATCCAAATACCGAACTCCCGTTTTCTCTACATGCATCGCAGCATGAAAATGCTTAGGAAGTCAAAGAATTGAGCTTTTGGAAATTTAGCCATGTTGAGGCATAAATGTCTTTATTGACTATAGAAAATTCTAAATATTCAATATGTGATAGAGGAAGCTTTGAACTACTTTCCCACAAGAGATCTTGGGTAGAAAACAACAGAAAATTTGTTATTCTCAGGACGCATCTATGTGGTCGAGTGTGATCTCTGATATTTATGAAGACTCTATGGTAAATGAAGGCAAGTTGTACTAAAGCACAACTAAGGTGAATAGCTAAAGTGGTAGAAGAGAAATACAAGAATGAAGATCCCAGATCTAAATTTTTACTTGGATACTCAACACTCTCGGAACAATAAAAGCAAAAATAGAGGACGAGTAATTGGAAGTGCGTGTTTTTCTATTATTTCTGCTTTACGCTGCGGACAAAATTACAGCAAATAGAGCCGTGAAGAGGAGAGATTTTTACTGATTTTTCTAAACATGATGCAAGATTTGAAGCTTAGAAGCTGAGTTGTGTTTGAGTAAAATGATGAAAATTTTTTGCTTTTTGTGATAATCAAAGCTTTGCTATTAATCCGTAGATACACTTCCTAAATAGCAGCCGTTACATTATGTAGAGTACGGTAAGAATACGCACATCCATCTGCTTAAATCAAGGAGCTAGTGAAAAAAATTTTTTTCGGGGGGGGGGGGGAAGTGGCTGCCGCCCAGACTCTCTCCTCGAATCTTGGGGTTATGAGGCGCAAAAAATTTGGAAAATTTTTTTCCGATGCGTAGCTAACGCCGAGCACCTTTATTTGAGAAGAAATTTCTGCCCCTTCCCCCCCCCATCGCATGGAAATCCCACTACCGTCACTGTCATAATCTATTGCCAAAAGTGGCAGTACTAATCAAACACCTCTTTTGGCACAAAACATAACGACGCGACTTAATTGTGACCTAAGGCCGCTCGCGCCTTCGACGCAGTCTGCGTCTCCCTCGCGCGCGTGCTCACTGATCATTCTCTGGCCTTAACTAGGTCACGAAGCCCCGCCTTTCAGACGCCGATCCAGTTGAATCAAAGGGTAACTAGGGTGACTGAAGCAGCACTCAATAATCGGTGGGGTTCAAGAAATTTTGAGGGGGGAGGCGGCATTATATTCTGTGAATGCAGGCGTAGCTTACACCGTTTTCCGAGAAACTTTTTGAAATTCAATCGAAATTGATTTGTAGGAAAAAGGAGCATTTCAAAGAGAAAAGAGAATAAATTCTGGGAATTAGCAGTAGCTTATCAGGGGATGTTTACAGCTTCTGCCAACCAGGACTTCTTAATGCTAGCAGAATTTGCGCAGAAATACCTCAGTCCAAGAGATAACTTACTTGTTGATTGCACATATTATTGCATTTTCACCCAGAATATCATCTCTTTTAAATATTCTCAAAGGAAAGTGCTCGAATAGTTGCAAAGCTACTATACCTAACTGTGGGAGAAATCAAAACACAGAGGAAAGAGCCCGTGGAGGGAGCTAGTCGGCCGAAGATGTAATAACAAATACTGTATATTCTCCTCTATTGTTACATTGAGCGAAGGAGTCGCTAGGATATAAAAAAATAGAGTAGTCGTGCCACAAATACTTGACTT